CCGAGGACTTGGTTTTCTGAGCAGTACACGTTAGATACTGGTCAATTTCAAGAACATGTTTTACCCAAGCAATTCACGTCGGTTTTCCACATTTTCTGCATCTCATTGGCGTCGCCCTTGACGATTTCAAGTGCGGATCTTAAGCTCTACATGAACAGAAGAGGATATAGATTAAATGTCTGCATCCAGAACTATAGCTGGTTTCACTCACCTTAATTTCGATTCGCGCCTCCACGAGCATTTGGTCCAGTTTCTTGCTCTTTAAATATTTTCCCTGAAGCACGTAGAACAGAATGTTGGTTCAAAGAAGAAAAGGCAGCGACAACTCACATCTGTAACGTGTACTCCCGGAGGTTGCTGGAAGTCCTCCCTAACCTTCGCATCATCAGGCTAAGTTGCACATGCATAACATTAAGAGGTGTCACGGAAGGAGTTTCTTACCACTTGAGGTTCATCTGTTTGCGTTCCAGAAGCTACAGGTTGGTCTTCAGCTTCGACATAATTGTCAGGTGGAAGGAGTCTCTTCCTCGAGTTTTTCTTGAAAGTATTTTCAGCGCCTCCAGGTCTTCCATATCCTCTCGGATAGACATTCCCTCGCAACGGTGACCGCAGAGATCCAGCGTACTTCCAGGAGCCGAGCGCCCCCGTCTGCTTCCACTCGTTGTAAGACTTTAGTGCTAAAATACAATCCACAACTTTTGTCATGGATCCTGTAGCCTGATAGTGAAATGCAAGTGGTCAGTCAGTGGTACTTCCAACATGCGGTGTCAAAACATTGGATATACCTGTTCCAAATCCGAGCTTTCGAATGTAGGAAGCCTCATCTCTTGCGACGCGACCAGAAAGTTTCTCAAGTTCTCGAAGCATTGAAATGCCGATAAACTCCCATCGGATGAGGTAGTCTCCACAACCTGTTCCGATACATCCGGCAGAAATGCAAGTCAGTCACTCTGACAAATGCATCAAAACCAAAGCAACCAACCTTTGAGACGGAACCTGGCTCAATCCTGTTCATGAGACGGCAGAGCAGCGCTCCATTCCGGAGGCACAGCCGCAGCTCATCCTCCGATGGCTCCGATGGTATTTTGGAGCACCCAACAATTTTGTTGATCCAAGAAGCCGCTTGAAACCTTCTTGTAGCTGAGACAAAAATTTAGGCTCGGCCCAAAACCTTGGAATCCATACCTGCTTCCTCCGCCTTCCTGGACGCCATATGCACATCGCTCACCCTCCCCGCGGCCACTTCCACCACCGTCAAATTCCTGTCGTGCTCATCGCTCGCCCGCGACGCCTCCGCCGATCCGGCCGCATTGCCGCCGTGCATTGCCGAGGAGAGCATCGCGCAGCGCATCAGTCGGCTGCGCCGCGGCGCATCACAAGCCAGTCCCGGCGATCGATCGATCCAACCCTAGGGCTCGCTACCTCCACCTTCTTTGAGCTCTCTCGAATTGCTTTGCCCGCCTAATGCCCCAGCCCCGGTGCCGAGCCGCCCCGCCGAGCCAAAATTCTGGCTGTTGCGACTAGGTTCGGCTACCCGAACCGTTTAAATCGGAAGGGTATAAATTGATGCCGTTGCGAGCATGCTAAAAAAAAGCATGGTCTTTCCGTACCATCCATACGGACATTATCGTATCGTAGTATTTTATACATTACTCTAATCCAACGGGGCAGAAATATTCGCGGGGGACAGGTAGCCATGCCAGAGGAGCAAAACACGTGTCAAGAGGAGACGGACCCACATGGCCCGCGCCGCTGGATGCCGCCACGTCTCCCCTCGTCCGTCCGATCCGGCCGCTTTATAAACTCTCTGGCGATTGGTGTGGAGCTCAGAACACTTTGCTTGATTTGCGAGAACGTAGTCGGGGATAGTCTATCCACTACAAGATAAAGCATGGCTCAAGAGCACCACCCAGGTACTATACATTAGAGTGTTTCTTTTCTAGCATCGCATTCTTGAAGACTAAACGCTTGATTCTCAATCGAAACTTCGATAGATCACGTCAAGGATGAGGCACAGGTTGTGGAGGGCGGCAGTGGCGCAACTCCGGAGAAGAAATCCGTGCTCCAGAAGGCCAAGGACAAGGTCAAGAAACTCGGGAGCAAGCTCAAGCCCAAGAGTCATAGCGGCGGTGGTGAGGACGGCACTAAGCAAGAGATTATCGATGATTCTATTCCTGGTGAAGAGGGTGAGGTTGAGGAAGAGGAAGAGCTGAGCACCGAGGCTCAGGCTCCTTCCAGCCAGCCCGACTCGAGAGTAAGCAAATTCGATAATAATTCGACAAAAGTATCAATTCGGATCGTGATTCTTGCAGGATTTGAATGTGCCATTGGATGAGTATGCTTTGATCCAGCAAAAGGAAAAGAAAGGTATGGAATTCGAGGGTTTTTTCTGTATCAGTCCGACTAAAGATGGATGTTTTTTCTTATCAGACAATGATGATAGCTTTGAATTTAGAAAATCGGATGGCCTAACCGAGGGGTTGCCTTCTCAAGCCATCGCGGAGCATCAAGAGCCATCGGACGCCCTCCAAGCCGTCCCCACGAACTACAATTACAAGGACAAAGATGGTGATCTCGATGACAAGGCACCCGCGGAGTCACAGACTCAAGAACCGACTCCACAGACTTCTGAAACTCGTGACGATGAGAGGAAAGATAGGAGCATTTTTATGTCCGACAAGGGGGTGCAAGTCACTCCCGAACAAGTGGAAGAACTGTCTTCCAGCAATGTTTACACTGGAGAACCCGACATTAAGTCTTCCTCAAGTGCTCAAGGGGAGGAGTCCTTGGAGCAAGCTAAAGTTGATCAGGGAAACGATGCTGCCAAGGTAAGAACTGATGAGTTTTCCTTGAATGAGTAGTGATCTTGCTCTTTTCGTACAGCAGCCAACGGAAGGTGATGAGAATATTGTCAGCCGAGAACTTGACACAAAGGAGATCGATCAGCCTCCAAAGTTTGAGGGCGAGAAAGGCACTGACGAGATCTCTGCTGAGCCGCGCGAGCTTCCGAGCGAGCATCAAACTTCAGGCGAGAAACAAGAGGGTGGTGAGATCGACCCAAAGGTGGCTGACGATCGGAGTGCTCCAACGCACGGAGACGAGCAGATTCTTGACGATCCGATGGGTCAAGAGCAGGAAAAAGCAGCGCCTCTCGACGATACAGTGGCTGGCGAGAAAGCACCAGCCGCCGATGAGCATCTGGGCGACTCAAAGGTTGACGAGGCTTTGAAGGAATCATCCGGCTTGGAACAGCAATCCGCGGAGACAAAGCTCGACGACGAGACTTCTATCAATGCGACCAAGGAGAGCGAGTCCAGCAAAGGCGAGGGAGCGCAAGCCGAGAGAGGCCCAGAGGAAATTAGCAGCAGCAAAGTGGAAGAATCCCCAGTTGAGAAAGACGAGAGCGGCAGCAAAGTGGAAGAATCTCCAGCTGAGAAAGACGAGATTGGCAGCAAAGTGGAAGATAGCTCCTCACAACGGGACATTGGATTTGTGGATGCGAGTGACAAAGGTTTACCAGAAGCACCAAAGAACGGGGAGAACTTCATGGACGCCAAGGATGAAACACTGGAGCGGACCGACGATGCACCCACCATCGAGGAAATCAAAGATGAAGAGCCACAGGCACTTCCAACGCAGGAGTCGGCACCAAAGCCTCGAGAGCTGGAGGAGACGAGCGATCAATTGACAGGAGCTCCAGAGAAATCACAAGTCCCGGAGTCAAAGGAGAGTGATCAAACAGCAGCACCAGTTGAAACGTCTGCTCGAGAAGATCCAGTCTCCGCTGCTCAAGACACTGTCAAGGAAGAGGAGCCATCAGAGAAGGTAATTGCAGCCCCCGACCAAGCTCATCCCAAAGAACAGAATAAAGAGGACAAAGCCGAAGCGTCTCCACTGCCAGAGAAAAGCGCCATAGCCCAAGAGAATCCGAATGAAGCACCCAACTCAGGACTCTTTGGGCAGTTTGCTACCAAGCTCGGCTATGGCAGCGGCAAGTAAGTTCGGCTATGGCTTGCTACCTTCTATTGGATTCTTGTGTATACATATCCTACTAGCAAGGAATCCAGCTCCGCTGGAATAGATAGAACATCTGTTATATAGGTGACATGAATCCTAAAGAATTAGTTGTTTGTTTTCATCATCCAGTAGTAATGATGTATATTTATAATTCATATATATATATATATATAGATATATATATATATATTATTCTGGGATTAGACACCATGATCAATGCCTTTGTTCATTGTATCTCTCTCATTCATCATGACCCCATACCCAAGAATCAGTAGCATGGGTTTAACACCTAATTTGTTTTTTAATTTCCGGTCACAAGTACATTGACAGCAAGAGAATGGGTAGTTATACCAGTGATCCAACAGAGATCATATTTTTGACACGCTCCAGTGGTTTTATTTTGAACATTTAATTTCCCAAAAATATGTGGTTGAGGATGCCTGAAATTAACAGTGATTTATGCCTGAAAGTAGCAGCAATTTTCTAAGAAAATTTGAGGATTCTAATCAATAAGTATAAGCTGTATGGTAAACTCTAAGTGAATTTGCAAGAAAAAGAAATGTAGTATCAAATGAAATGCTCCAAGGTTCCTCTAAGCCGACAGGCTAAATGTATAATTTTCGAGCTGGTTGATAAATTCTATAATCTTTTTGTGTGTGTTATTTGAATACTTACTTATTGTGACTCTTTTGCCATGAAGGGCACATAAATTGATGGCTTCAAAGAGTTGGACAAGGTAGTCCTCAGCAGCCTGTTGCTCTTTGATGGAACACTATGCATGCATGACAGTTGGAACCTGATGATTTTGATCCTTTTATGTCAAACTGGTCTTTTCTTTTCAAATACTAATAACACTTTTTCATAGACTAATATTACTTTTGTTCTATAAAGTCTAATCTACAACAATTCTTTCTTCATACATATGTCAAGCATATCTTCGGCATCATCGAATGGATTGTATTCGAATATTTCTTTAGCAAAGTCCGGACTAAATTGCAGCACAATGCCTTCAAGACGGATTGGCTTCCAGTTTTCCACCCCTCGCTTTGGATGGTACTCATTTTCAAGGTAAATTAGAAAAGAGAAACATAATTTCAGCTGGGATTTATATTATATTTAACATGGATGTTGTGGAAAATGCTAATCTTGAAGATTAAAAATGATTTTTAAAATTATTCTGATTTGTTGAGGAAGATTTGCGAAGCACAAAGGCAAAACATAAAGACTTTCAGAAGCAAGTTGTAAGAATCTCAAGAGAACTGAGTTTTACAACCAAACACGTTTTATCGGCCCTTTACTAAACCGGCCATAGTCTATTGTTTAGCAAGATTGGCCAAAGTTAATGTTATAAGCCTCATTATAATAAGAATCAAGCAGTGTCTACCTACTACCTTCTAAATCTCCTTCAAAATCTTCAAAATCTGTGCATACTTGCACACATCTTGGATAGGAGAAATCCCAACAGATTGCAATGCAGTCCCGGCATGCTGCAAATTCGGAGAGCCAAGTGCTGAATTTCCTACAAAATAAAGAGTAGGATCTTGAAAGGCTTCTTGAATGTTCTTTCCTTGCTGCTCTATGGTTACCTAGCATGTTAGATGAAAGTCTGTAAGAATTCACCAGCAATCGTCCAGTCTTGAGCATGTTGCTACCAACTCTAAAGTCATGTACAGTTGACCAGCTTCTAGCTTTGTATGAGCACTGGGTCGTGGTGCAGGGATTTATCTGGGGAATCAACTCCTTCGATAATGGGGTGTGAACTCGGCAATGTAAACTTGGCTTTCCATTAGCAGTGAAGGTTATATAAAATTTAAAGAAAAAGTACTTATAATGGCAGCCTCCAAAGACACACATAGTTGGCTGAGTTCTTAGAATCTGGTGATGCTTGCAGGCTTCTCTAAACTCAAGATAAGGGAGATCACGATTCATGAGAGAAAACACTAAAAGTGTACTTGATAGTTACTTGCTGTAATCAGCGTGAATCTCATACCTTCTTGGAAACTCTGTAAATCATAGTTTCCAGCAAGCTCCTGATGCATTGTATTGCTGTGCAAACAGGACTTAGTTAAAAAATAAATAAAGACCTTATTTTTAACAACCTTATTGTCTTGTGCCAGAAGTGAGACAAATTAAATGCTAGACTGCAACTCTTCTTGATGATGCTGCTGTTCTCAACATTTGGTCCATGGTCATAAAAGCTATGCATGTCCTCCAAAGACCTGTGATGAGAAACATTTGGGACTTACAAACAGCCTCTACAATGTACTTGGCAAGCCTGCCTTTGAGTATCTTCTTGTCTTTGAGTTTCATCCTGTTGAGGCAGTGACTTCAAAGAAGGATTCGCTCCTTGTGATAAGTCAATAAGTGACAGGGACAAATTAGAATAGTGGAGGCATGAGAATGCATAAGGTATCATATTGTATGAGGTACAATTCAGTAAAGTACTTTTTTCTTTTATAACTACAGAAGTTTTGAAACTCTTACAGAATAGAAGTCTCGTGGTCTTGGATGTGGCAAGTAAGAAACTTTGCTGTTGGGATCCAAGGCAGTCCACCTCAAACCCCAGATAAAGGAATAATGGCACAAATAATAGATCTTTACCTGTAATAACGAAGTAATGGACGACAATGAAGATTTGAAGCTTGGCAAGTTTGTAAGTTCGATTTCCCATCCCAAAGGGTGTGAACGTGAATGGAGATACTCCATATTTCTAGTTAAAAATCCCAGCCAGAGTTACAGAGCATGGGTGAGAATCTCGTACCTCCCAGCTGGATTGAACTTTTCCGGATCAGGGTGGATCCATATGTACTTGTCTTAGCCACGCTTCCAAATCACTTGAACATCACTTGAGAGAAGGAGACTCACTATTAAACTCGAGGTCTAACAAGGCTCTTCTAAAGACCATTGGGGATATTTTTTGCAAGTTGCAGTGTTTCATTGAGAGTAACTGAGAATCAAACGAAACAAATCTCGCCATGTAAGATTGTACTGCCTGAGCAAAACCAGGCTTGTACGAGAAGAGCAGCCCACAGAAAAGCTTCCCATCGATGGACGCTTCTAATATGTATCTGTAGTTGAATATGTCGCTTACTCTAGCCTCGAACATCTTCTCGCCTAGCAGCTGAAGATGAGCTTGAAACTCTGTAGCATGAGTTTGACAGGGAAAAATTGGAGAGGTCCAAGTTTTTCTGCAGATACCTTTGTGAGATGAAACCAAGCTCTTGTCCGCATCCCGTTGCTTGTCTAGCACGAATGGCGTGGCACGATACTCTTGCCGCCTTCTCTTAAGTTCCTTACGCATGGATAGCTTTGGTTCTGATGGATCTTTCCCCCTCAGCATCTCTTCACAGAAAAACGGCAACCATATTGTCAAGAATGGCAGCAATGTCATTTAAAGAAGAAGCCAACCTGTGTCAAGGAAATACATGTCATCCAGAGCTTCAAGCTCTTCGTTATATCCCCCATAGAAGAATCATATGCCTCACTCTGCATCCACGGAATCTCCTGCAAGGGAGAAACGTGGAGAAGGCCCGGGACCAGAGGGATTCGAAGTTGCCCAAACACCAGTTGCTACAAAATACGTAAAAGCCCCATGAGAGACTCACGTACTTTCCATGGCTGATTGTTGTGTGCCTGGCTCTTAGCATCAGCTCCGCACCAGTCGTCTTTACCTCCCGCCATGCCATTGTTTCTGGAAACGCAAATGAATTCGCAAGTTTAAAACCAGCACAATGTATGTACCTGTGTCCAGAATATAAAATCATTTTACACACGTTTGTAAAGCATTTCAAATTTATAATAGGCATCTGGGCTGTAAATCTCGCCTGAAACTTCTGTCCAAGGGATTCTCAAAGGTTGAAGTAAACGCAACCTGCGTGTTTCCTGGCTCTCACCATTTCCAAAGAGGAAGTCATAAG